GATGATTTTTAAAAACAGCTCTTGAAGACTTTCACAGTCTGTTCTGTCATCTTGTGGGAGGTCTTTGATGTGCCTCTTGAGGTTTGGGAAATACCTAAATTTCTCACCATCCACATCCCTCTTAAAGACTTCCAGTTTCTTTTCAAAAGCCTTTATGTAACCAAACATAACATCAAGTGTCTTGCCAGTTCCTTGTAATTTAACATTTAAGTCATTCAAATGTTCACAAAAATTGTAAATGGAAGATTATAAGAGAGGGTTTCGCATGCCAGCAAAAGTTACTGGCGTGCCATGTTTGGCATGCATGCCAGGGGTTGCCCACCCCTGTTCTAGAGTATATGAATCTTCAGTCATAATAGATAACATCAGACTGTTTTCCAAAGTGGTTATACCAGTTTATGGCAGCAGTATATAAGAGTTGCCATTGCTCCACATTTTTGCAAGATTTGGTGCCTTTAATTTTAGCCAATCTGATGGTTATATAATAGTGTCACATTGTGATCTTAATTTAATTTTCCTAATTACTAATGAGGTTGAGGGCTTTTTCTTTTCTTGTTACATTTTTAGACAACCTTGTAATTTTGAGCTGAACTATACTTCTCAAGTAATAGTATTGGTTCTTTTTTTAAAAAATATATTTTATTGAGTTTTTACAGAAAGGAAGGGAGAGGGGTAGAGAATTAGAAACATCTATGAGAGAGAAACATTGATCAGTTGCCTCCTGCACACCCCTACTGGGGATGTGCCCTCAACCAAGGTACATGCCCTTGACCGGAATCAAACCTGGGACCCTTGAGTCTGCAGGCTGACGCTCTATCTACCAAGCCAAACCGATTAGGGCAGTATTGGTTCTTTACTCTGGGCTTAGACAAACATAATAACTTGATGCTGCTTTCTGTGTATTTTTAAAAAACCTTCACCCAAGGATATTTTTCCATTGCTTTTTGGAGACAGGGAAAGACAGAGAGAAATATTGATGTGAGAGAAACACATCAATTGGTTGCCTCCTGCACTTGTCCTGACCAGGGTCCAGGCAGGGGAGGAGGCTACTACCGAGGTACATGCCTTTGACTGGAATCAAACCCAGGTCCCTTTGGTCTACAGGCTGACACTCTATCCACCGAGCCTAATCGGCCAGGACTGATGTTTCTTTTTGCACATGTAACATGCCTAAAGTTTTATGTAAATTGTGTCTTCCATAGAGTTGAAAGTGATGTTTATGTTTTTAGAACGGCCTCAATATTATTGCTTTAAGCTCAGGAAGTACTGGGCTATAGATATAGGTTATAAATATTGTACACAAGGAAAAACAGATTGAGAAGCCTATAATATAGTGTGGTTAAAATGTTTTCCCAAGATTACAAAGCTAATCACTGGTGGAATTTACATATTTGATCATTGGTTACACTCCTCAATTGTAACAAATATACCACACTAATGCAAGTTCTTAATAATACAGGAAACACTGTAGGATTAGGGGAAGAAGGGCTGTATATAAACTTGATATTTTCTGCTCAATTTTTTTTTAAACCAACTGCTCTAAAAACTAATTTTAGTTCTATTTTTTAAAGAACTTTTAAAGGTTCTTAATACATTTTTCCAAATTGCTATAGGAAAGAACTACACCAAATGTAGTATAGTCAGCAATCCAGAAACCTGCAGGACCTGCAGAAACCTCTTAATAGAAACTTTATAACTGAACCCGACTTTTAAAATAATTTTACCATCACTATTGAAATGAAATTATTTTATTGTTCTTAATGTTGTTTCTCTTACCTTATTTTGGAATGGTGAATATGGAATTCCTTTGCATTGCTACTTTACTTTGCTATCATCCTGGATAATAGGAACAAGGTATTTGGCAGTTTATTTTGCAATTGTTCTTGCTGACAGGATCAAGGTCTTTGATTTGAAGAGTAGAATACATTTTAAGTAGCCAAGATCAGAATAATATGACTTTGACCAAGTAGAACCAAAATAGTAGCTGAGTTCACCTAACTAGGGTATTCTTGCATCTTGGAAGTTAATACTGAAAACCAAGCCGGCTTGTAATCTTGGCACTCTTTTTTGGAACACATTCTAGAGCAGGGGTGGGCAAACTTTTTGACTCGAGGGCCACAATGGGTTCTTAAACTGGACCGGAGGGCCGGAACAAAAGCATGGATGGAGTGTTTGTGTGAACTAATATAAATTCAAAGTAAACATCATTACATAAAAGGGTACAGTCTTTTTTTTTTTTTAGTTTTATTCATTTCAAACGGGCCGGGCCGGATCCGGCCTGTGGGCCGTAGTTTGCCCACGGCTGTTCTCCAGTCAATTAGAATCAACTTGGAGAAGAAGACAAAGCTCACTAACAATGTTCTTTTTTCTTTGTTTCGCTTCTGTGTGTCTCTATATTTACTAAATGACAGTGATGTATTTATATTTGTGTCTTTCATCCCTACCTGACTATAAGCTCTCCAGGACAAGGTCCAGATCTCATATACTTTATACCTCCTATGTCTGTCATGGTACTTGGGACATAGAGGCTTTCAACAAGCATGTGTGGAAATAAAGTGTTAGGATCAAAAGCACTAAATCATAGGCAGAGCTGGTGATATCTAAGATTTAATTATAGAAATAACTATCTCGGTCTATTTTAACATCAGCCTGTTGTAATCTTACATAATGAGAATTTATATACATACTGGTGTATGAAATTCGTGCACTGGGGTGGTGGTCACTCAGCCCGGCCTGCGCCCTCTTGCAGTCCAGGAACCCTCAGAGCAGTGGTTCTCAACCTTCCTAATGCCACTACGCTTTAATACAGTTCCTCAGGTTGTGATGACCCCCAACCATAAAATTATTTTCGTTGCTACTTCATAACTGTAATTTTGCTTCTGTTATGAATCGTAATGTAAATATCTGGTATGCAGGATGTATGTAGGCGATCCCTATGAAAGTGGCGTTTGACCCCCAAAGGGGCCGCGACCCACAGGTTGAGAACTGCTGCCTCAGAGGATCAGACCTAAGCTGGCAGGCGGACATCCCTCTTGCAGTCTGGGATCCCTCACTCCTTACTGCCTGCCTGTTCACTGCTCTTTACCACTCAGATCACTACTCCTTAGCGCTGCCGCAGAGGCGGGAGAGGCTCTGCCTCCGCTGCTATGCTAGCCAGCCATGAACTCGGCTTCTGGCTGAGCGGCACTCCCCTTGTGGGAGCACACTGACCACCAGGAGGCAGCTCCTGCATTGAGTGTCTGCCCCCGAATGGTCAGTGCGCATCATAGCAACCGGTCATTCTGGTTATTCCACCATAACAGTCACTTAGGTTTTTATTATATAGACTAGAGGTCCAGTGCACAAAATTCGTGTGCTCGGGGAAGCGGGTACCTGTCTGGCCTGCTCCCTCTCGCAGTTCGGGAGTCCTCAGGAGATGTCCGACTGACGGCTTAGGCCTGCCCCAGAGAGCGAGCCTCAGCCATCAGTCTGACATCCTTAGCACTGCCGCAGAGGCAGGAGAGGCTCTCACCACTGCCGCTGTGCTCACCAGCCATGAGCCCGGCTTCTGGGTGAGTGGCACTCCCCCTGTGGAAGCGCACTGACCACCAAGGGGCAGCTCCTGAGTTAAGTGTCTGCCCCCTGGTGGTCAGTGCATGTCATAGTGACCTGTCCTTTTGCCTTTTGGTCAATTTCCATATTAGACTTTTATTATA